AGACACAGGAAGTCGGAAGTGATGTCATGCTGGACAAGAATCAGAGTCCGAATAACATTTTTTCATATTCGGACTCGAGTCCGAATAATCACTTCCTTTTACCCCCATCCATGGGACTTCCGATTGGCAGTGGTAAGAAGCTGTCCCCTTTTCCCTACGGCACGGGCACGGGATGCTGATCAGCGGCAATAGTTAGCCCCAATAGCTAAGATTGTTGTTGAAATTATCTCATTTTAGACATACGGACTTGTTAAAGTTATAATTTCTTTTCTAAATGTTTCTGGGTTTTTTTTTAGTTGAAGAGTAGAGAGACTACCATGATGTGCTGCCTTACACTGATGCCTCATCAATGAGGATTTGGGTGGTGAATTGCTAGATCTAATTATGGTTTTAAGTTCCGATGTTAATTCCTTTTTTGGTGAACCTGCGATCATCACGTTCAATTTTCTCAATGTGCTTTGACAAATGCAGTTTCTGGGATACTTTTTAATTAGATATTTAATGGACTTTGAACATTTAACTTTCTCTGGTAACATTGAAGCCAAACAAGGCAGGGGTACACTCGAGCTACTTACTTTTGAAAAGTCAGAACTTGAATGTTTTCTATGATTGTGAAAGGTTGAGGGAGAGCATGGTAAGAGAGAGAGAAAACGAGAAGGGTAGATGTAGGGGTGGGAAATTAGAAAGTGGTCTCTAAGTCAGTGGGGGGGGGAGAGGAATCAGCTGATTTGTTGACCTTATGTATTGTCTGTATCTAACTAGTGAGGAAAGCAGTATTGCAGTTTCTCTTTTTTTTTGTCTGGTTGTGTAAGATGTTTTTTTGTAGTTTTTAAAAGTTTGTTTAGCATTTTTTATTGTTTGTCAATTTCCATCATGATCATGTGTGATGTTTGATATGTCAACTACTTTTGTCATCATGGATGAATGTCAGTACTGTGGTGTGGTTTGCTCCTTCTTTTCTTGCAAACAGTTATAATATTCTTTAAAATATCTCTCCTCCTAATTTTCTGTTCTTTGTTTGTTACTCTAAATAGCACTCACTTATTTTTAGCATTATTTTACCTTTAAGGTGTTTCAAGTGCCGTAAAACTCAGCTAAAACTTTACCGTCATCATGTTTTTTTCCCCCCTCTGTTTCATCTGACAGAAAGATGATTGAGTCTCGGGTTTTTCAAATCCAGAGCCAGGCCACAAATGCCTTTTCCGTGATGCAAGAGCTGCGCCTGAACCAGCAACTCTGTGATATCGTGCTCTGCGTGGGCGGAGCAAAGTTCTCAGCTCACAGAGTACGTGTGTGGACATTTCTTTGATTTTGAAGCGAAGGGAATAAAAGCTGAAGTTTTGTTCTATGTTTATATGGGGAAAAGCTATTGGAGCAATTGCCAGAACGTGAGACTCTCTTGAGACTCGGTGGTTCCAAAATTTTTTTCTTACCAATTTGACTCCCTTTTCTGTCAGTCTCAGATTGACATTTAGAGCTCATATTCCTAGAGTATCAGAGCAAGGAGATGTAGGGTTTTGGAGATATGGGTCTATTGGTTTGGCAACCACTGTATTTCTTGTATGT